AAGATCCACAAGATAAACTGTACTAGTGTTAAAAAAAAAATCTACACAAGTGTGTTATCTACAATCACATGCAGTTTGTTTACACCCGGTACAGAAGTCAAGATCAGCACGCAACCTAACAGAACAGACGTGTGCTGAACACAGTTATGGTCTAGGAGGCATTATGCCTACACTGTAAGCAAAACGATAGTCTGCATTGTAACAAAGTTCCCATGTACCCAGCATCAACATAACAAGGCCAAAGACATCTGCAGACGATTTATTAACCACAGTGTTCTAGAGTGGAGGTACATACCCTAACAGAGAACGAGTGATTCAAACTCCATCAAGAATTAAAGTCAGTGGCTTTGAATCCCAGGTCAGTGAGAGTTTCGTCTGCCATTTTTTCCTTGGCTTAATGAGCTGATGTAAAGAACACCCTGTTCTAAACTCCTGTCTTCTGACAAGAAGGCCACCAGGGACTTCAGTGCTTTGTCCTTGCTCTCGCTGACTGGTGGGCAGCAGAAGCCTCTTGCCTGTATCTGACCTCCAACTGATCCACAGCGTTCTGTTCCCAGCCACAGCTCCCCACTTCCCATTTGAGTAATTTCTCCTCAATTGTTTGTCTGTAACAACGACAAACAGGACTCATGAGGGTGATCAAGTTGCCATCCATTTAACAAAATACACCCTCCTGATGACAGTCTTACTGCAGTCAGCACAAAGTCACAACAATGACATGAGAATCAATACAAAATATTTATTTTTCAATCCACAGAATTCTTAACCCCAAAGCCACATCATAAATTTCCCAGAATAGTAAGTCATTAACATTTTTCTAAACAAGACAGTCCAACCAGAAACAAAGGCAGTTTCTGACCAGCAAGGGTACAGTGGTACACAGGCAGTCCTACGAGAATGCACCCCAGATCAGCACTTCCTTTCATTCTCCCACAGCCGCTCCGTTGACATAAGCAGAAGTATATACAGCCTTGTGCCACTTGGCTCTGGGAAGAGCTCTACAATCAAAATCATATCTTAGTCATGGAAGGGAGTGCCAGTGACTCAGTTAAGAAACAGTGGGGAGAGAATCATTTCCCTTGTGAAAGCGCTGGGCTCCTTTCTTATGTTCTGGTGGCCAGAAATGGGACAAATTTCAGCAGGGTAATGAAAGTAGTAAAAGCCTTCTCTCCATGAACTCCTATTACCTCATTAACTCCTGATACAAGTGACCTTCATCATGTGTGTTCTCACTGAAAACAGTAATCACACCCCTAAAGGTCCTGTACACCTTCTACAGGTGTCAGTAGTGGGATTCACATTCTGACCTTAAATTGTCAAGCCCCCTTAAGAGCCCAGACTTAGACTAGGTAAACATAATACTCCAAGCTAAGAAGCTTAATGAGACATCATGGGGGGGGGGGGAACCCCCTCAACACACCCAAACCATGGCTGGATAGCTAATGTAGTTTTTTTTTGTTTTGCTTTTTAGTTGTAAAGATTTTAGTATCTCAGGTTAGTGTATACTCATAAAACAATGATGAGTTATTTTAATAATAGCTGCTTATTGAACAAGTGAATTTTAGCTCAAAGGCATTAACAATCCCAGAAATAACTGCTGTGAAACAGAAACAAAAGAAAATACAGCCAGCCTCAACAATAACACAAAATCTGGAAAGGTGCTGTGGTAGATTAAATAGCAATGTTTAAATACTATGATACAGGGCTCCTGCTCATTAGTAACTGCAGAAACCGTTGGTTTGCTAGACCACCATTACCTTTGCTAGTACATGTACAGACCACCACTCTGAAGTTAGCCTTCTGTGCTGAAAGCCTTTCGCACCCTTTGTTTGGTCAGTACAAAATACCATGAGGTGATACAGGAGCAAACTCTTCCTGAGGAATTTCTGTGTGCAAATCTGCAACCAGACAGAAAGCAGGGTGTGTAGCGAGGGAAGCGGTAGTGGGACAGGGAAGCAGGGCAGACGTGTGCGCGGCCTCCCCGGCCCAGGGCACCAAACCTTCTGCAGATCATTCGCTCACCACTCGTTTCCATGCCAGGCCCCAGAGGATGGCGGTTGCCTCAAGCCTGGGAAAAGGACAGGAAAGGTGGCTTTCCACAACACTGACAAATGCCCCTCATGGAATCCAGGTGTGTTTCCTTTCCTTCGCCCGACGAATAGCTATAGTGAGCCACTGTCCCAGGTTTTGCTTTCTGCCCCAGAAAACATAGTAGTTGTTCCTGTCAGGTCATCAGAGGTGATGAGATGGCACTGTTACTGAAGTTTAAGTTTAAAGTAAGTACCGTCTCTCAAAACAATTAACTTTTTACTTTAACAGGTCATTGCTTCCAGGTGATTCTCAAGCTGAAAAGGCCTAGGATACGAACTGGCTTTTTTTATTTTTTATTTTTTTGGGGGGAGGGAGCCTAGTTGCAGGTTGGACAGACCAGACATACTAGTCAGTGTGATCAATCAACTGCATGTACTAACAAACCAGGCAATTTGCATATACAAGTAGATAACTGGGGCTCCACCAAAAGCCAGCACTCACTGAGGTGGAACAGCTGTTTACTGCACCAGCAAGAACACAAGAAACCACAAGGGAATACCTTCTGGCAAAAAGTGGTCAGTCAATACACAATGAAGGCAAAGTGACTTTCTTTTCTTGATGCAAATGAAGAATTCTGTGAAGAATCCCAGTTAAGTAAGCGAGGTTAATTTCAACCTCAGGTAGTAAGCTCTTCATCTTGCAGTGTACCTCAAGGGCCAAGGTGAGTGACCGCGTGCAGCGGGAGAAGTGGGACCTCCCCACTGAGCCTTCCAATCATGCCTCTATAGCACCAAGCCCTGCCCCACAGCTGGCTGTCGACACTGTGCAAAAAATGTACAGAAACGACATTTTGTAAATTTTGCCCACTTTTTGTTAACACATACACAATAAAAAGACAATAAAAAATACTTCTGCACTAATTTAAAAATACAAAAGCATCTGAAGATTTTCAGGCCATTTCACATTGTAATATAATACGTTCATAGGGCAAGTTCGACTACTGCCAAAAAAGCATGCTCTCTCCCAGAAAAATCATCTGCGTGTGCTACCAGGATACTGGGGAACTCATCCATATTTCAAGAAATGTTCCAATTTTACTTTCTTTCAGAATTATTATTAAAACTATGCAGGAGAGACTTCCATTCCAGGGGTTACTTATAAGCCTGCAGCAAGCATTCCATTGAGAAAAGGAAAATTTGGATTCCATGATAAAATAGACTATAAATTCTTCCTTGAAACTACAATGGGAGTGATGCAGCCAATCCCACAACACAGGCCATGCTGAGAGCCTGCCTATCTCCGTACAGTAATTCTGGGTTTGTCAATACAACCTAAGATGCTCACAATCACGAGTCCAATTCCAAGTCCTCCACAAAACCCCCCAATGCGGGCTGATAAGCCCTTAGACTCTCTGCTTTTACTGCTCTGTCTACTAATTTTACAAATGGAGAACTTCTCTTGCTGGACGACTTCCTTACTTCCTCTTCACACTTCCAACTCTCCCACTCGCCCCACGCCCCCAAAAGGACAAACTGAATTTGCAGAGTCAACTCAACAGAAAAACCTGCCAATCAGAGTGTGACAGTATATCCCTGAAATGTCTTCTTTCTGCCTCAAGTTCTCTGGAAAAGTATCAGTCTGACACCACAGACTAGGGACCGGGGTGAAGCGTACAGTCAATTTAGAGTCAAGCGAAAGTGAGAAAAACATTATTCCCTTGCTCCATCTCCGCATTTCAAAACAACTAGAATAAGCTTCAGAGACTTTTATAAGGAACAAAACAGCACGGTGGGTTAGAGGAACAGAAAACACAGCTTCGCCTCAGCTGGAAGGCAGTCTTCCAACAGCAGGGCTGTGTCTGCCCTATTATACCTGAAACTACAATGTTTAAAAGATGCCGACTGGAGGCAGGCTTTTTTGAAGTACTTATCCCGCCCTTTAAAGCGAAATGGATCAGGCGTTTCACCCCAGGGATTACAATGAAGTTTAATCACCAGATCTGCTTCCTATAGCACCACAGGAAGCAGCTCTCAACACAACTGAAAAGGAAGCTTTAGTGTGGCACGCCACCCCCAAACTAGCACAGTGACACTCACAGCAGCTGGTGAACCATGTGCAGTGACAGAGGGAACGGAAATGTCGGTCCCCAGCATGAATATGCTAATGGTGAAGCGGGGAGAATCTGACCAGTGTGCAACATGTCTGTTTTCCCATTTCATCAGCCTCCTGTTCATGCTGATGAAGTCACACCTGCCATCTTGGTGGGTTATTTTACGACACCATAAGCTTCTTCAGGAAGGACTGGTGAGTCTGACATGGTCACACTATTGCAAAGTGCACAAAGCTCAAGGCACAGAGGAGGGAAGGGACCGATGAAGGAGAAGGTGGGGCAAAAGCAAGGTTAGCACTTTTCTGTAACAACACGTCCTAATGCTAAACAAAGACCAACTCTCTTTTAACAGGGGTTGTTTTGATTACGGGCAAAAAATACTGTACTGTGACGATCTGCTTGTTTTCAAAGCAAAAGATCATGTTGACATGTGAAACCAACACAATAAAGAGCCAAGTCCACAAACGAACACAACGAGCGCTTTAAAAAACAAACACGAGTGCGTTAAAAAGAACAGGTCTTCTGCTCGTCTATTTTTGGAGGAAGCTGCGGATTCCGGCTGCCGGTTTTCACTTAGCAATGGTCACTTTTCAAAATGCCTGTTCCTCACGGAATCGGGAGATAAACTCGTTAAAAGATTGTCCCATTTCCCAATCATCCCAAAATCTAGCAGCAACTGTTTTTTGTTAGTCTTTTGTTTTTTAAAATTATAAACCAAGGTCAGAAGTCCAACATCTTCTTCCAAACACAGCTTTGTGACCCAGCTGCCGAGTGTCTGCCGGATGCCCGCTGTGCTCAGAACAGTCTCTGCAGCCCCAGTGTCTTCCCTGCAGGAACCAAAGCACATTCAAGACATTCACTATCTGTAGCCTCTGGAACTTGCACACGCTGATGAGCTGTCTGAGAAAACAATGGAATGGGAAAAAGTATGAACAGCAGGCAGTGTTTGGTAACAGTAGACAATCTGTTCATTCAACACACACTTACCACCCCTCTCCCAATCCCCCAAGAGGGCGCTGTAAAGAAAACAACGCCCTCAGAACTATGTGGAATGATCGATACAGTGAAGTGAAAGGGGGCTGGATCGCCAGGAACTGACACTGGACCATGACCCTATGCCAGGAGATAGGAGTCAGAATTGACTTGATGGCACCTAACCATTCCCCCTCCCCCCAAAAACCCCAAACTCATTGCCATCGGGTCATTTCTGACTCATAGAGACTCCTCCTGGGGTTTCTGAGGTGGTGTCTCTACGGATGTAGATCGCCAAGTCTTCCTTCCACAGAGTGGCTGGTAGATTTGATCTGCCAGCCTTCTGGTGAGCAGTCAAATGCCTTAGGCACTATGCCATCAGAGTTCCCAACCACTACAAGTAGACACTAAGGACTTAGAGCTATGGTGGCCTCTGGGTAATTGCTACCCACTAACTGGGCTTCAGAACTGCCTCTGCAGCTGCAGTGTCAGCTTGAAGGACACCTGCTTTGACCTTGATCACCCACAGCGCCCTCATGGGAACACCGGTGAGAACACGGTGGATGATGGATGCTCTGCAGTTACTGCCAGGGGCTCCCTGACATCACAGCCCACAGGGTTGGGAAGGAACACCAGTACTCACTATAAGCCAACTCGTCCCCAGCTCTCTTCCGGGACTGGTCACCTCTAGAGACAAGAAAATAAAGAGTCAACAGACTTCTTTACACATCAAAACAGGAGAGATGAACAGATGTAACTGACAATAGAAATATAAACCAAAAAAGGCACTGCAACTGAGTCAATTCCAATTCACAGTGACACACACCACAGGGCAGAGGAGAACTGCCCTATAGGGTTTCCAAAGCTGTGTATCTTTATGGAAGCAGACTGCCCTATCTTTCTCCCACAGAGTGGCGGGGGTTCGAACTGCTGGCCTTTTGGTTAGCAGCTGTGCACTTAAACACTGTGCCAACAGAGCTCCTCATGGAAGTACAGCAGATAGTGTTATTTCAATTCTAACCAACAGCATGTCTGGTTTTTAAGTAGACATTTTAAGTATGTTTACTTAAAAACAGACATAAACATAAGCTGTCATTTGTAACCCAGACATTCTTAGTTCAAGGGTCCTGTGTTTTAAGTCTACATAGCCATTAAATGGAAGAAGAATCATCTGTAAGGATGGTTTGCACTGGGTTCTAGCAATTAGTTCAGACTAAAATATGTCTTTGAAGATAAATTTGGGTTTTATCAACACCCCTGGTGACCTGCATATACTAGGGCAAATGTCAAATATGAAATAGAGAAATTAATTGAAAGTCTTCTCCAAAAACTCCTATCATGAGACTAAAAATTGTCAAAAGCCTTTGGAAAACCCCAGTCTTCATATACCTTAAGATCCCTCTTGCCAGCAGAAGAAAACAAACTTTTACATGTATTAACTAGTTCACCTTTAAACACCTGTAGAAGTAGCTAATCAACCCACTTCAGAGACAGGCAAACAGAGGTTCTGATTAGGCCACGCACCTGTCAGTCCTATTTATACCTTCCAGCTTCTCAGACGTGATCCAGACAAATGACAACGATGCTTACATAATACATAATAAGGCCAGTGCAGAAGCTTTTTTTAATCCCGTGGTCTCTTGATGGCATTTACATACTTGGTCTTGTCCTTCCTGGAGTACTTTTTCTCTCTAGGCTTCTGTGACACTACACAATCCTATAGTATCCTTTCTACCTCAGCTGCTGCTCCTCTGTGGTCTCCTTTGTTGGCTCTGCCCAACACTGTCCTTGGCCACCCTTTCTTCTCCACACACATACTGCGCAGTATAAGACGGTGTTCGTCTCCAGTCCTGTGGCTTTAAATACCACCCAAATGCCAGTAATGCCCAGATTTGTATCTTCAATGCCAATTCCTTCCGTATTTCCAATCTGTGGGTCCAACTGCCTCTTCGCCACTTCTCCTTGGATGATTTTTTCGTATCACAAACTGGCCAGAGTCACAGCCGACTGCTCAACTCCTCCTGTCCCCATTCCGAGGTCTTGTCTCCATCTCAACCAATGGCACCACCACCCACCCAACTACTCAGGCCGAAATCCTGGGTCATCCTTGATTCCATGTGACCTCTATCTGGAGCTTTCTGCCCCGAAACACAATCCTAAATCAGTTACTTCTCATCAACTCCACTGCTACAGTCCTAATCCAGGTCATTATCGTCTCCACCCTCCCAAGTGCAAGAGTCTTGTCATCAGTGTCCCTGCTGCCACTCTCACACCCACTGCTCTCCAGGCAAGGCAAAGAGCTCTCATGTAAAAGCATAAATACGAAGTAAGATGACTTTAGCAACTCTGTTTAAGCCCTACACTGGCTTTCCACTGCAGTCAAAATCAATGCAAATTCATTTTCCCAGCCCACAAGGCCCTCTGTGAAATGGCTCCTGCCTAGCTCTCAACTCATTTTCTCTCTCTCTGTCTCTGTTCACTATACTTCTGCCACCTGGTTTTCTCTGTCCCTTGGGCAGGTCAGCCTTTTATAATTACCTTTTTCTCTGCCTGCAGCATTCTTCCTCCCAGTTGACCACATGACTGTCCAGTTATTATGCGGGCCCTCGCTGGCCTGTGTCCTCCTCACGAGGTGTCATGTGACCAATGAACAGAACAGCCCCTCACATGCGCCCCGGGCACTCACTCTCAATCCCACTCTGGGTTTTTTTTTTTCCCCTTCCTAGCACTTGCTATTACTTCAAGTTACTTATATAAATGCTTAGTATTATCTCCCATCGTAAAAACACAGGTTCCGTGAAAGCAGGACCTCTTTGACTCTTGTTCACCCCATGTCCAATAAAACAGTGGTTAGCACATAGTAGGTACTCATTAAGTATTGGTCAAATTAATAGATGAGGAAATAATTTAATCTCTAGAGATTATGAAAATGCTAGTCCAAATAATTATTTCCTTCTTTTGAATAATCTTCCAGGCAACCAAAGCTTTTCATTTTCTCTTCTGCTTCTGTGAGAGGAGGGCAGAAACTTCTTCCCAGGTAGTGGGAGGATCCTTGATGACTGGCAGGGAGAGAACACACCCCAAAGCCTCTGTGAGGTTTTATCCAGGCACACACCATCCACCGTGAACTAACCCCTGGCAACCTAGGAAGGCCTGCAGTGATTGGCCCCGTCACCTCTGAAAACACCTCCACTGCTTGCGAGCATACCTAGCTACAGCCAGCAGCCTGTCTTCCACTGTCACCTCTCTAGTGCCAGCACAGTAGCATTCATTGATACAAATACATTAATGTGGAGCCAAAAGCAAGACAGAAGATTTTCTACCCAGAGTCTCAACTTCCACAGACAACCTTTATGCCCAAGCGCCAAAGGTTAAATAAAACCCAACACGCAAAACAAAAGGAGGCAAATACAAGTATGAAAGCAACAGGAGGAAGAACACAGGTGTGATGTTTGGAACATCTACTAAGTGGAGAAGCCCCGATTCCAGGGTGCCCACCTCAGGTGAAGACCAGCACTACCCACAAGGCTCTGCTCTGCTCCAGAAATCGAGGTGATCGTTTGGGGAAGAACATTTATTTCCTTTAAAAGTTACTTGGTGCTCACTTTGAAGGGACCACAGGCTGGCATGAATGTGGCTGCGCCAGCTGGGCCTGCATATGAAAAGTCCCCAAGTGGGCTTCTTTCCCACAATGCATTCTCTGACCACAGTCTTCAATCCCGCCCCCTTCCCAAATCACCTGAATTATGCAGGGAGTAGACAAAATAAGAAGGTGGGGTTTTGTGTGTGTGTTAATTCTATCTTTGAAATAAGTTCACTTTGTATTTCCATGATCATAAAAGTCATGTTTCACTAAACTCCAGCTCAAAGGCGAATCTGTCCACTAACTGCCGTTATTCACATGTCATTTCAAAACATTTCCAAGACGTTCTCTGTGACCCCTGCATAAGTTCACTTTGTATTTCCATGATCATAAAAGTCATGTTTCACTAAACTCCAGCTCAAAGGCGAATCTGTCCACTAACTGCCGTTATTCACATGTCATTTCAAAACATTTCCAAGACGTTCTCTGTGACCCCTGCATGTTAAGTCAGTATTACCTACTCACGTCAGTGGAACATAATCTTAGATGGAAACGTAGCTTGCCGAGCTGAGTAGGAACCCTGTGGCTGATGAGGCCTAAACCCGAATGACTGCTCCTATCACAACAGGCAGAAACAAAACTCTCAGGACGCCCTGGATTCACATTGCTGTTTTAACATCGGTGGACACCACATCTTCCCAAACTATCGTAGCCAAGTGAGAGCCACGGCGGTACCCATGTGGCAGAGCAGGCCAAGGAAGGCCCCTTTCCCTCCCTCCCTTCCAAGTGCTGGAGCACAGGCAGGCTGTCCATCAGCTGCTAAAGGTGGTTTGCGCAAGTCCATCCTGACCAATGCACACAAAGGCACAATGGGCTGGAGGAAACACGAGAGCGTCAGCTTAGGGAGGGCACCAGCTGCATAACTTACGAGGCAGAGTTTAATCCTCACAGTAAGTGTAAAACAAACTGTCAATTTAATTCTAAAAATGGCCTTATTATATGTGTAAACAAAATTATTTTATTACCTCTTGGAATACTGCCTAATGCTTCAATCACAGCTGGAAGTTGTATGAGAGAGTTCAGCTCAACAGAAACAAAAATTCCAATGTACACCAAAATCCCAGGCAACGCTGAGTCTCACTAACTTGGCCTTCGCTGAACAGTGCAATGTGTAGCCCTTCACGTACAAAGGCAGGGTCACGAGAGGGCTATTTATGGAGTCAGTTCTCCTCCAAGCAAATTTTACATAACAGCTACTGTACCAAGGGAGCTCTGGTGGCGTAGTGCCTGAAGTATCTGACTGCTAACCGGAAGGCTGGCGGTTCAAACCCACCAGCTACTCCTCGGAAGGAAAACTGGGCAATCTACTTCCGTGGAGCTACTGCCTTGGAAATCCAAGGAGGGGTCGCCATGAGTTGGAATCGACTTGACGGCAGTGAGTCTGTTTGGACTGTAGCAAGAGTCCCTGTACCCTGCTCTTATCCCACTTCTAAAATAAGGACTAGGAATGCCCCTGGATGTGGTTCCACACACTGCTCTGGAAACTGAACTCAAGGTGCTCTGAGAAATGCTCCAGAGCTGTGTCCCTTGGAGGTTACACAGTGCTAGGAGCTTCCAGAAGAGGGCGTGTAAGGGCATGTTTCATGTTAAAAGCAAACACTCCCCCCAACCCCAAAAAAACCCTACATGAATGAAAACATAAAAGACTTCATAAGGCAAGTTCAACTACTGCCAAAAAAACATGCTCTCTCCCAGAAAAATAATTTTGGTGAACTTGACAAAAACAAAAGGCATACACAGATCACTTGACAGATACTAGAAATTACTTACAGGAAAACTTACTGTAACTCAAGACCAGTTCTCCTGAGATTTAGTCTGGCCTCAGAACCTCTGGGAGTGAATGCCATGGCCCGACGCAAGTCAGTGCTCTACCTACTATGTGTGGACACAGCTATGCCTAAGGTCAGACACAGGGTCATCCTCCTCCCAACTGTCTTCCTGTGGGCCAGGGACCCAAGCAAGACACGGAGAAGTGCAAGGGACCAGTAAATAACGGACACATACAGCACTACCGTGCCTGTCAGTGACGCGGCGACATGAATGGACACGCACAGCACTACCGTGCCTGTCAGTGA